GGGGGGGGGGGGGCACAGCCTTTAATTTGGCTTTTTGCCTAAATGGGGAGCTCTCTCTCATAGGCTTCACTGATCAGAACTAAAGCAGGACCATCTCTGGAAACATATTTGGACTTTGAATGATTTTCTTTTTACCCTCACTCCATTTCTCTTGGGACAAAACATAAAGAAGACAAAGGCTCTCAAACTTTTCTGCTGTACTAAGCACAAGGCTGTGGGGAATTAGGGGTGCAGAGGGTGCTGTAACATCTCACAATGGGTGCATCTCAAAATACAACAAAATAGTTTTTTTTTTTTTAAAAGACTATAACAGAAAATGTTCTGGCTACTTTGTTAGAATTGATTTTTTAAACATCTTGATATTATTTAAGTTTTTTACAAGTAAACTTGTAGTTATTGTATGTTGGCGTTGTAAGAGTATCACTGCCTGCAGCTCCTCGTCCAAGATGGCTGCTAATTACCAACAGCTGTCGGCCATCAACCTGATGAGGATCACCTCCTACATAAGGCTGCAGTCCAGTGTCAATCTTCGCTGGAGCATTGAACATCTAATGGTATTGTTGTCTCCGGCCTGTAAATTCATATTAATTAAATCTACTTACTATACTCTTCTTCTCTCCAGCATTCCTGTCTCCGCAGTCCTGGTTCCCCTGATCCTGCCCTTGTCCTCGTGCCTTGTCCTGGTGCCCCTCATGCCTTGTCCTGGTTCTCTTCGTGCCACGTCCTGGTTCTCCTCGAGCCTTGTCCTGGTGCCCCTCATGCCTTGTCCTGGTTCTCTTCGTGCCTTGGTTCTCCTTGTGCCTTGCCAACCACCAGTTGCCAGCCTTCCTCGCTCTGTTGGACTCTTGGCCTTGTTCCCCTCTGGAGCTCTTCTAAGGATTTGGAGTTGGACCCAAAGACATCTTCTAATCTGTAAGAGAGAATACATCACCACATTAAAATTGCCTATTCACTTGCCGACCTCCTTTGATCATCTCCCTCCTCTTCCAGGAGTTCCAGAGAAGCAACTGTCTGTTTATCCACTGTAAATAATAAACACTGTTACTTTTGTACCCACCTGTGTCTGTCTCGTTCCGGGTCTCATACCACTCTGGGTTCCTCGAGTTATTACAGGTGTGCAACATTTAACATTTGCTTAAAATCTTTTGGAAGATTGGCAATACATTCTGCTGCTGGATACTGGACTTCATCACCAACAGACCATAGGCAGTGAGAATTGGCAGTCACCTCTCCTCCACACTAGTCCTCAGCACTGGTACACCTCAGGGCTGTGTCCTCAGTCCTCTCCTGTACTCACTATTTACACATGACTGTACCGCCAAGCACAGCTCTAACGTCTATCAAGTATGCTGATGACACCACCATCTCGGATCTCATCACCAACAACGACAAGAGTGCATACAGAGATGAGGTGAAATCACTGACCAGCTGGTGTCTGGAAAATAACCTCTCTAAATGTCAGCAAAACGAAGGAAATTATAGTGGACTTCAGGAAACGGCCTGGAGGCCAGCACCCCACCATCGGCATAAACAACGCTGAGGTCGAGCAAGCCAGCAGCTTCAAGTTCCTCGGCATTCACAATACTGAAGATCTATCCTGGACTTTACATACAGACACTGTGGTCAAGAAAGCCAAAGACTTTACTTCCTAGGAAGACTAAAGTTTGGTACAACCACTAGCATCCTCACTAACTTTTATAGGTGCACCACTGAGAGCCTGCTGACAGGCTGCATCATGGGGTGGTATGGGAACTGCACCAGCCAGAGCCAGAAAGCTCTACAGAGGGTGGTGCAAACAGCAGAGGACATCACTGGTAGCAGTCTCCACACCATCCAGGACATCTACCACAGCCGATGTCTGCATAAATCATGCAGCATCATTAAGGACCACACCCACCCAGCACAAGGACTCTTCCATCTACCCTCAGGCAGACGATACAGGAGTCTGTCATCGCGTATGAAAAGACTAAAGGACAGATATTATCCACAAGCTGTCAGATTACTGAGTTCTTGGTAAATAACACTGAACTGGTAATAAAATTGCACCAAGCCACATTTGTGACAACTAATGTTTATTGCTGCTGCACTATGTGTTTGTATCATGTATGTCACTAGCTTACCAACATAATTCTATCTTAATGTTACTCACTACCTGTGCAAGAACCTGTCACACAATCTGTGCAGTTTATGTTAGTTATGTGCAATATATATCATGTGCATTGAAGCTTATATTACTACCTTAAAATTCATACTATTTGCACCAGTATATTCTACTGTGTTGTTGTTAACTCTCTCTCTCTTTAGGACATTGTAAACATTATAATTACTTTTTCACTTTTTGGTACTTTATTTTTGTCCAAAATTTACAAGATGTTTTTTTATGTTCTTCATCCAAAAAGGCAACATGCACTAAATGAATGTTGTGAAGTTACCTTCCTTGGTTAATGACATCACTGACACCATGGTGATAAAACACTGTAGGGCGCCGGGCTAACATTACTTTGTTCACGTGTTTGTTGTACTGCACCCTCTAAGCAAGTATATATATATATATATATATATATATATACATACAAATATACATATACAGACAAATATACATATACATATATATACATATACATATATACATATATACATATACATATATACATATATATACATACAAATATACATATATATACATATACATATATACATATATATATATACATATATACATATATACATACATAAATATATATATACATATATACATATATATATATACATATATACATATATATATACATATATACATACATACATATACATATATATATATATACATATATACAAACATATATATACATACATATATATACATGCAAATATATATACATACATATACATACATATATATATACATATATATACATACATACATATACATACATATATATATATACATATATATACATACATACATATACATACATATATATATA